TGTGATTAATTGAGTGAACGTTTTATAGGAGTGATGGAAGTCCGAAAACTTCACGAACGTTTATATCAAGCACATCCCGCCTTCCTGGACCGAGGAGAAGATCAGAGAGGAGTTTGGTGCCTTTGGAGAGATCACTAGCTTTGCTATGCAGACGGTAAAGTGGCGAAGGTGTGGTATGAGTTGGTGATGGCTCATCATCGCAGGATCCCAAGGGTAGACGATTCGCCTTTGTGAATTTTGCTGAGTTCGAGCAGGCCAGGGCGGCAGTCGAGGATATGGATGGTGAAGATGTTAGGAATGAGGAAGAGAAAGCTGCTGATAAGGCACAGAGGGTGAGGACGGCAATTTTGTGGCGCGTGACGGAATTATTGCTGTATAGCAGGAACGTGAGCGTGAGGAGAGGAGGGTGGCTCGAGAGGCTGTGGGTGATGAAGTTGAATCTGATGACGATGTAGAACCAGAGAGCTATCGTTTGTATGTCGCTCGAGCCCAGTCGAAGGCTGAGCGTGCAGCTGTGCTGAAAGAACAGTTTGCGGCTGGAAAGGGCGCCCAGGGTGGTAGGTTTGGCGGAGTTAATTTATATGTAAAGAATCTTGGGGAAACGGTGGATGATAATGAGCTGAAGAGAATGTTTGAGCCCTTTGGGACGATCACGTCGGTTAAGGTTATGACTGATGATAAGGGTGTGTCCAGGGGGTTCGGCTTTGTGTGCTTCTCAACGCACGAGGAGGCTACTAAGGCGGTCACTGACATGCATTTGAAGTTGATTGGTGGGAAGCCTTTGTATGTGGGAATGCACGAGAAGAGGGAACAACGTTTGGAGAGGCTCCAGCAGAGGTATAGGGCCCCTCCACAGCATGAGATGGGTGGCTTTAATAATGGTCCACCGAGAGGGGGCTATGGTGGTGGTATGGTGGGCCCTGGAGGCTTCGGGGCCGGTCCGGGTGGTGGTTTCAATCAGCCTCATCCTATGTATTATTCTGGTGGAGGAGGGGTGCCAAGAGGAGGTCCACACATGCGTGGTGGTGGCTATAGAGGAGGTATGCCTTCACATGCTGGACCACCTCAGTATGGTGGTGGTGGCCCTAGAGGGTACGGCGGCCCTCAGCAAGGTAGGTCCAACGAGGTCGTACTGTTGCTACTACTCATCTCGCTTGGTGTGTGGTAGGTATGATGCCACCAGGTGGTGGTGGTAT